CAGCTTCCCAGACCTATTCCTGAAGGCAGAAGGCTGTGCAATATGAGCAACGAGGGCGGACGGAGGCCCACTGGGATGGCACAGGGTGGGACATGAACAGAGAGGCACAGCCCCATGGGTAGAAAGTCCGCAGCTCCACCTGTCACAAGATGGAGAAATTTCCTTCCCAGAGAAGAAATATTTTGTATCTTGCGCTTGTATCATCACCCAGATAGATTATTTATACTTTTTATTGATAAGACTTGTATTTCTTTTCTCCGTGACCCTCCAAAGAACAAAGAAGAGAAGCCCAGAGCTGAGGAAGAAAGAGTTGCTGAGAGGGTTTTAATGATCGGCTGGGCTCCTTCCCAGGTGTGGCTTCGCCCTCCAATCAGAACCACGTTATCTCCTCCACCTCTACTTGCTTGTTAGTTCAGTTATGATTGTTCTCTGTGTCCTTCCAGATTAATTTAAGGCGGCTAAAAATAGAATGCACATACAATAGGACAATTTCAAACAGGATAAAAAAATGATATCAGAATCCATTAGATGTAAGGTGAGAAAAACATAATTAAATCTGGAAACTTGGGGAGAGAATGGTGATGGAAAATGAACAATTCTCTATTTGTGTCCTGCTCTCACTGACAATGAAGACTAATTAGATACTTGAGTAAGAGTGATGCAGTGACTCTTAACGCAGCAGGTGACTGGTTTTTCTATGATTACTGAGCATCTACTAGTGCCAAACACTGTTCAGGATACAGAGATGCTAAGTCTTTTTCATCTCTATTCTCAAGGTGTTCACACACTACCTGAGGGTGAGCATAAGGTCCCATTATAACCTTCTGTACTGAGTATCCATCCTAATATATAAAAAGCCAGGGGCCATCACGACCGAAACAAACGGACGGACAACCGAACAGCAGGCTGCATGGGGTGACCAGGCCTGCAGGGGGGGTTAGTGAGAGATGACCAAATGAATGAACAGCAGGCTGCATGAGGCGACCAGGCTGGCAGGGGGGGCCACTGGGGGCAACCAGGCCGGTGCAGGGGGTGGGGAGGCCCCGCAGTTGGGGGTGATCAGGCCAGCAGGCAGAGGCAGTTAGGGGCGATCAGGCTGGCGGGGGCCGGGGGAAGTTAGGGATGATCAGGAGGTGATCAGTTAGGAGCCAGCAGTTCCAGATTGTGAGAGGGATGTCCCTGGGATTGGGCCTAAACCGGCAGTCTGTCATCCCCTGAGGGGTCCCAGACTGGAGAGGGTGCAGGCTGGGCTGAGGGGACCCCCCTACCATGCACAAATTCCATGCACCAAGCCTCTAGTAAATGTGTATGTGTCTGACCCACCCACACCTGTTCTGTGCCATGAATCTGCCTCATGTAGTAGGTGAAACCAATTCTTCCATCTGCCAAAAATTATTGGACCAGAGATGTATGTCCAGGCTCAAGATAGCCACACAGGCACTGGACTCAAAGGAGTTCAAATATTGCTAAGGACACTTGTTGTGAGATTGCCTAATATATTCCCTCCATATTGTATGGGCTCACACTAATTTTATCAGATTATATTTTCCAAAGATGCTTATAACATATCTCCTATCCACTTGCTTTTCTCACAATGTGACCTTGACATCCCTCCCATTGAATGGTGGGTTTTGTGTCTTCCCCTTGAGATTTGTGACTGTTTTAAACAACAGAGTATGACTTCTGAGTCTAGCCTATAAAAATGCCACGCACTTCCACTTGGTTCTCTTGGGATATTTGTTTTTGGAACCTAGCTACCATGTTGTACAGAAGCCCAAGAAGTCCTGTGTAATAGGAACCCAGGTCCCTGGCCCACAGACCTGCTGGGCTCTAAACCATTAGCCAGCACCAACTTGCCAGCCGTGTGAGTGAATCATCTGAAAGTCAAAATCCCCCAACCCCCACTAAACCCCATCCACACCGCAGACTCATATATGACTGTTGCTGCATCAAGCTACTAAGTTTTGAGGTGGTTTGTTGGGTAGCAATAGATGGCTAAAACACCAATCCAATCCAGTTTTCTTGGGGGGAAGTATGAATGCATCCAGAGATGGGCTCTTGAACTCAGACCAAATCCTAAACCATGCTGCTTTTCCTCTTCCACACAAGTCCTACCTACATGCTAGGCTTGGCTATTCTGAAAGGCAGCATGACTATGGCTATGAAAGAGGTAGTGATATTTCAGGCTACTTTACATTCTTTCAAATTCTTGCACTAAACACCTGTTCTTGAGAGTATCTGGGCATGCCTCTCGATTGCAACTTTAAAGAGTACAACTACTATCCTGTTGACTTTAGCTCCAGTAAATGGGAATTTTATTTTTTTTGCTCAGTGACCAAACTTTTTACCAGCACCTATGTCCCGAAACTAGGTCTTTCCTTACCTCCCCTATTCAAACCCTGGCTTTTTTTCAACATGATATATCATTTTCACTGGCTCTGGAGTCATGCTATCACTGCCATCCTACAGCTTCTGCTACTTATCTTAGGCCGTGCCCACTTTCAGGCCTCCTTGGCAATGACAGACACCTTCTTAAACATTTTCCTATTGCTTATCACTGGGGAGGCAGTGTATCATAGCGATGTAAGAGCCTTGGGGAGACATGGGACAAGTTTACAAGTTCCCTAAACTTGCCTTCAAAGTATATTCTGGAGATTAAAATGAGATGACATATTTTAAGTGCTTAGCACCTTATGGCCAGAATTGCTATCTCATCGGGTACCCAATACTCTTTCAGTGCTTTGAGAAACAGAACCTTTGTTGTTGGGTGTGATGATGTGCCAACCATGGAAACCACAGTTCTCTGCTGCCTTGTAGATAGGTTGGCCAATGAATGGGCTGAGTTGTTTTATTGTATGGATGGCTGACCTAGTTGGGAGGCTCTTACAAATATTATCCTTCTTAGGAAGCTAGAGCAAGCATCTTGGATCATGTGGCTACCCCGAAGAAGGCAGCTCGGCACTAATGGAGGTGGGGGAGAGTTAGCAGGAGCCCAGGTCCCAGCTGACCATGGATTTGCCATACCAGCTTACCTCTGTACTCTCATGTGTGAGAAAAAGCCAGCCTCATTGAGAACAATTTTATTTTCTGTTTCTAGTATTAGAGCCTGAACTTAATTCTTAATGGGTATACATAATAAATGCTGGTCAAGATTGTTGGTCTCTCTTTGCATCATTTCCCTAACTCTGTGGGACTGTCTGCTGTGATCTCCAGGCTGATCTGACCTACCACATTGGTCTCTTAGTTGTTCCAGCTAAAACAGGAAAGGAAATACACACTGCAGCAGACCCAGAGGCATATTAATGCCACAATTAGCCAGGTTTTTCTTTAGTTGGAGCCATGAGGAGCAATCTTTCTTACCCATTCTTTGTCAATGTGCTGACTAGCTTTTATGACCTGCAAGAATGCATCCTTGGTCAAGGAAATCTTCATATTATCTGCATGCTGTGATAATATTATTATTATTATTTAATCTATAAGAATAAAAGCATAATATGGCAGAGTGGTTATGGGTGACCAGGCAGGCTGGCAAGCTGTTAGGAGCCAGTGGTCCCAGATTGTGAGAGGGTGCAGAGAAAGAGAAAGAGAGAGAAAGATGGAAAAAAACCACTCGCCTGCCTGCCTGATTGTCCCTGACCACTCTGCCTGCCTGCCTGATTGCCCCTAACTGCCTCTACCTCAGCCTCTGCCATGGCAGCTTCGTCCGGAAGTATGTCCAGAATGATGTCTGAAAGGTCGTCGGCTGTCCGGTCTAATTAGCATATTATGCTTTTATTATTATAGATTAAATTTAGAAACAGTTTTCAGTCTATCACTACCAAATGAGTAATTTAGCATACAAACATGTATGCACTTATTTATTTTTATTAAAAGCCATGCAGCTGAGAATTAAATAATTTATACATAAATATATATATGAATACCCAACATTAATAAAGCCTTAAGTCATAGAGGAAAGATGTATATATATAAATAATTCTCAGCATGCAAGTTAGGAGGAGAAAACCTCGAGCCTCAATCAGTCTTTAAACTTTGATAGTTTTGCAAATCAGTTCTAATCAGTAGCAATGGGACCATTTCTTAGATGAGGCTTGCAAAGTAGAATTTTTATGTTGCTGGGACAAAAGCCAAGTGATAAACACAACATCTGATGATCTTACTGATCTCCTGAGGAAATACTTTACATGCTTGTAAAATGAGGAAGTCTAATATAGTGGAGTTTGTTTTTTACATTATTCTCGCTGAACTTTATTTATCTTTATTTTTATTGATTTCAGAGAGGAAGAGAGAGGGAGAGAGAGATAGAAACATCAATGATGAGAGAGAATCATTGATTTGCTACCTTCTGAGCCTGCAACCAGGGCATGTGCCCTGACCTGGAATTGACCGTGACCTCCTGTTCCATAGATTGATGCTCAACCACTGAGCAACACCGGCCAGGCTCATGCTAAACTTTAAAAGCAGGATGCACACATACTAAATTATTACTGATCTACCAGATTAGTTTTGAACTTGTTGAATAACCACAATCCCTGCTCTTTCTGAAAGCTGGCATCTATTAAACTTACAGAGTTCCCTATGTTCCTGATGTTAGTTATAATTTCAGGGGTTTCACCTAAGTCAGAGTAATACATGATTACTCTCATTGATTGCTTACTGTTTGTAGTATCCATATATCATTCATGTAGTCCATTCATGCTGCCCAAGAAGAGAAAAATGTGAGGAATATGCTTTTTGTAAAATGTCTAGTTACTTACTTATAAAGCACCAAAGGCCAATGATGATAATGTGGTGTGAGCTCAGAGTGTGATGCACTGGTCCCCCTGTACCTGAAGTTCAATTGTAAAAACAACCCATCCACTGTGGGTTGTCTCAAATAGTTCAACATCATATTTATAATCTTGTACAGAACTGAAATTAAAGTATTGATATTATAATAAGCATGTTGGTTTAGGAATGTAACTTCTTAAAATATCATTTCAAAAATCTGAAAGCATCTATGGAGTTGGTAAAAAAAAGTTTTATTTTATATAATTGTATGGATTGCTATCTCATGAACATATTATTTATAAAAGGTAACAGGGCAAAAAACAAACGAAACAAAAAAAGCCACCAGGTATCTACAAATAACCACCTTCGAAAGGACTAAGAGGAAAATAAAATTTTGGTGCTAGATCAGACAAAGGCAAAGTCAAAGAACTGCTCAAAATAATAATAACAATAATAGGTCATTTGGTTATGACACTATTAATAACCAATTTGACTAATTCCATTGCTCACTAATATACAGTGACTCTTCTGGTTATTGTAAGATCCAAATAATGTAATCTATGAGTGAAGCTACTCTGGACTGTCTACAATAGATGCTAAATGGAAACCCCAGAATTCACCCAGAGTGTCTTCTGAGTGTGAAAAAGTGCCATGTGTAATATAAATTTTTTTTTTAATTCAATCTTTTACCCACACTGAGAATTTTAGCAGTGTCTTCCCAGTGTAAAACCATGTCTTATCACTCCAATATATTCAGAATTTGTACTAATCCCGACAGAAGTTGAAACCACAGTTTCTATGTTTACTCAACAAAGGGCCTTCTTTCTGAACTGGTGAAAACTGATAGTTTAAACAACCAAAATAAATGAGTTGGTAAAAGTATTTTTTAAAGCACCTGTTTCCATTGCTAGAGCTGTGAGGGTGTCAGTGGAAGCATCTGTCACTCCATGGATGTCAAGGTTGATCCAATGCTGTGTGCTCGTGTTTGGAATGACAATGACCTTCTTAGAGAAGTCACATCACTGGGTGAAGGTAGACACTTTTACATACTTATTAAAATAAGTTTCCTGCCCTGGCCAGTTTGGCTAAGTGGATGGAGGTTCGGCCTGGGCCCGAATGGTCCCAGGTTTGATTCTGGTCAAGGGCGTGTATCTCAGTTGCGGGCGCTGGTCGGGGTTCATGCAGGAGGCAACCGATCGATGTGTTTCTCTCACATCGATGTTTCTCTGTCTTTCCCTCTCTCCTCCACTCACTCTAAAAATCAATGGAAAAATATCCTCGAGTGAGGATTTTTAAAAAAACAACACAACAAGTTTCCTAAAACAAACAAACAAACAAAACCCAACAAGTTTCCTTAGGAGTTCAACAAGGCAATGTTATTAACCTAGTGTGCTTAAAATGTACAAAAATGCAATAAAATATATATCTCTAAAATATTCTAGTCAGATTTTGTTCTGATTGGCTTCCCAGTTGGGGCAAATTAATGAGATTTTCACAAACAATAATCTGAAATATAAAATTAAATTTGGGTTTAAAATTTCTTGACATTTCTTGACATAAACCTATGATACCTATTAATTGGGTGGTAATAAAAAAAGACACAGGATGCTGGAACTGACCCTTGACTGTTTGACCCATACTAATTTCATATATCTTGCCAGAATTAACTATATTTTTAAACATATTCACTGTGCAATTATAGAGGTTAGTACATTTTTCAGATATAAACTCAATGGCATGTTGCTGAAGTTGGCTTCTTCTAGAATTTGAAGTTATTTTAAATAGTGAATGAGAATATTTTTAAAAGATCATAAAAATATTGCTTCATCGAATCTCATCAAAGTAAGATTCCAAGACCCTTATACTTCTCAAAACTTCTAACGTCCATTATCCGATTGAGTCGGGTGAAATTTACAGGTCAAAGTGTTGAGCAAAAATCTTAGCTACTTAGAGAAAGAACTGAGACTCTTCTGAGAGTCACACATTGATGAGAAACAGACTGAAAATAACCAAAATAGGCAGAAATGGTGGTTCAGAAAGTGGCAATATTGGCATACTATCTGAGAATCACAAGTTGTGGACCACGAGTTGAACATGAATATGTAAAACAGCAGTGGAAACAAACAAAAAATGCCATATTAGGATGCCCCAAAGAGAATATGACAGATAAATCTGTTGAAGTTAGATACCACGAAGACCGTCTTTTGCCAGAGCTCTGTGCAGTGCCAGGAGAGCAGAATAGCGGTGGTTAAACACAGCCAGACAGTTCTATGGTTCACTGTGGGGCAAGACCTCCCTGATTTGGAAGCCTGCCTTTAAAGGTAAGGGCATAGTTCAGAAGGCACATACTAGGTAAGGGATTCTGACAGGGAGGAGGGTCCGGGTTTTGTTATGCGTTAACGCAGCCTTTCAAACACAAGGCCCCAGATTCAGCAGTAGATGCTTGGTGAACCTTATCTCCCCTCCGTGTATATGGGAAGCAGGAAAATAAACAAAGCTTTTATTCTTTGTTTCTTTCCTGGAATAAAATATCAGGTGGCGTAGATGACCTGAGGACTCCCCATTTGCTAGATTGCTTTAAAGGTCAGAATTTGAAAATTAAGGATTAACTGGAGATTGATAGTACGTGAGTGGGAGTGATAAACAGGCCCTTCTGCATTTTGTGCCATTAACTCTAGCGCGAGGATGTCAACAAATACCACGTAGAAATCACGCAGAATGTCATCTCTGACAGGCTGAGAGTGACTTCCTGGAAAGCTGGGATGAGAGGACATGAAGCGTGTCCCAACACCGAGTGCGATAAGTGACATTGGCCACAGATATTTGCTATTCCTGTTTTGCTTGTTTCAAGTGACCTTAAAGATCTCAGAGACATACAAAGGTGGCAGATGACCCCACCACCCCCTCTCCCTACCTATATACTACATGCAAGGGAGCTGTAGTGAGAATAAAAATGAGCTTTGGGCCCTGACTGGTTTGGCTCAGTGGATAGAGCGTCGGCCTGCGGACTGAAAGATCCCAGGTTCGATTCCAGTCAAGGGCATGTACCTTGGTTGTGGGCACATCCCCAGTGGGGGTGTGCAGGAGGCAGCTGATTGATGTTTCTCTCTCATCGATGTTTCTAGCTCTCTATCCCTCTCCCTTCCTCTCTGTAAAAAAATCAATAATATATATTTTTTTTGTTAAAAAGAGCTTTGAGGACAAAGTAGGGGATTTTAGCTGAGAAAGACAACGTTTACTCTTTCATCGAAGATTCCCATGCTTCTGAGAAGTTCCCAAGAGTGACTCGATCTAGCTGACGTGGGTCAACAGGTCACCAAACAACATCTCCTCAGGACTGTGGCCTCTCGCTGCAGCCTCCTGACAGGTAGAAGCCAGTTTACCAACCTCCTGGGATAGTGTAGACAGTAAAACACCTGCTTTGTTTGCTGTCTTCTCCGACTGTGAGACACTCGCCTTGAGAAACCTTCCTGCTGAATGCAGTTGACCTACCACTTGACTAATCAGAGGAAATTATCCAAAGCTAATTAGGTAACAGTGTGACCCAGAAGGAAACAGATAAAACAGCTGCCTGATTTAAACCCTGAGGAATGAAGCAGAAAGGTAACAAGGACGCAGAGAGCATGGCCAGAGTAAATGCAATCCATGAGAGGTTGGCTGAGAGGAGGGAACACCCTTTGATTAGAGCGAATGTATCCTATGGCTCCTGCACCCTCAGCGATGGATGTCAGCCAGGCCTGTTCCTTGGACTTCTCAATAGCGCATTCTTCCCAGTACAGGTGATGCCATCCTTAGGAAGAGTGGGCGTTGGGAGAAGCAGCAGAGGTTCTTGTGTCTATGTTGATTTGAAATTAATTAAACCTGTATCCTCTTCATCCTCTGTTGGCAGGCCCAGCGGGCTCCCCCCGGGCTGCTCCTCTTGGAGAACATTAGCACCATTCAGTTTTAGGATTCATTATCGCTGCAAAAAAAAACAGAACAGTCGTGTGTTTCCAAGAAGCTACCCAGAGCTGGTCACTTCACCATGGCGGTGACTCATGAGAGCATAAACAGTCAGCAAGCCAACAGCCTTCAGTTTACAATTTCTAAAACAAAAGTCAACGAGGATATTTTATTTGATCCGAGAAGAAAACTCATGAAGGCCAAGAAATAATCCCTAACTGTTGCTCTAATATCCTTCCCTGGTGCTGACGTGGAGAGAACCAGATGGAGTCAGGGGTTCCCCTTTTAATTAAATCTAATCCCATTCTCTATGCATAAATGCCAATTGCCTTTTTTCAAAAAAAATTTCCATGTGTTGTTTTCCCTGAAGAGTTTGTGGCCCTGGCAGGATTTTCCCCTACCCGCCCCCCCCCCCCCCAAGGCCATTTTGTTCATATCCACAGGATCTGGAGGTGCCCTCTTGGTGTCCTCTAGAATCCGATCATCAGGCACCCTGGGGTGTGAGTTGACATTAATTATGGATGTGGTATTTGGACATGACCATGCTGGCTGGCTAACTTGTGCTTTGTTTCTAGCGTGGCTATCTCTGCCACATACCTGGTTCTGTGGCTTTTCCCCAGTAGGACCAAGCCACCATTCAAGTCTCCTGAAGGCAGGCCACCCTACCTCTCCTCCACATCTCTCTGTACTTTGGTGTCCTTTCCCTCAAATCCTACCACATCTGAACCTGAAGCAACCTCTGTCTCCAAGGAAGTGCCTGAATGAGAATAATCTACATGACCTGGTGTCTCCTTAGCTAATAGGCATATGTAGTCTGCAATAGATTGTTCTTCTGACTCCTGCTTCGTGAAACACCCCGTGTTCCAAAAAGGACTCTGCAGCAACTTGATAGGTAGATCCACGAAAAAGGAGGGAAACATTGTGTGTGTGTTCATGTTATGAAGATGGGGAAGAGGTTGTGATAAGGAGGGATGATCAATGGGGAAGAAGGGGAAAGGCAGACATTGTCAAAAGGACTACTTCTGTAGCAAAACTTATTTAAAATGAAACCTAATTGAAAATTAAGACTTTTTTTCCCTAATTCTCACCCAAAGATATTTTTTCCATTGATTTTTAGAGGGAGCGTGGGAGGGAGGGAGGAGGGGGTAGGAAGGAGAGAGAGAGAGAGAGAGAGACATTGACATGAGAGAGACATTTACTGGCTGTCTCCCTCACCCTGACCAGGGACCGGGGATTAAACCTGCAACAAGGTACATGCCCTTGACCAGGAATCGAATTCGAGACCCTTCAGTCCGAGGGCCAAGGCTCTAATCATTGGGCAAAACTGGCCAGGGCTTTTTATTTTTTTAAATCTGAAGAGTAGATGTAATAATGCACTTCACTTAGATCACCCTGAGCAACTCTTAAACTGGGCCAAAAAGTTTCATTTCTTGGAAATTGGTGGTAGCAAGATAAGATTTCTAAAACCCAGAGTTCATCTCCACCGATGAGTCTCTTAGTTGCATGTTTTCCTTTTGTTTACCTTAAAATTTCTGCTGCTCTAAGCTGAGTGTATGACAAAGCTGGCTAGGAATGAGCACAACACTGAGCTGTGTCCAGCAGTTATAATAGAAGTGATATTAATTATACTAGAGGTCCGGTGCACAAAATTTGTGCAGGGGGCGAGGGGGGGGGCGTTGTCCCTCAGCCCAGCCTGTACCCTTTCCAATCTGGGACCCCTCAAAGGATGTCCAACTGCCCGTTTAGGCCCGATCCCAGTTGGACATCCCTCTCACAATCCAGGACTGCTGGCTCCCAACCTCTCACCTTCCTGCCTGATTGCCTCTAACCACTTCTGCCTGCCAGCCTGATCACTGCCTAACCACTCCCCTGCCAGCCTGATCGATGCCCTAACTGCTCCCCTGCCGGCCTGATTGCCCCTAACTGCCCTCCCCTGCCAGCCTGGTCACCGCCCTCCCCTGCCAGCCTGGTCTCCCTTAACTGTCCTTCCCTGCAGGCCTGGTAACCCCCAACTGCCCTCCCCTGCTGGCCCGGTCACCCCTAACTTCCCTCCCCTGCTGGCCTGATCACCCCCAACTGCCCTCCCCTGCTAGCCTGGTCACCCCTAACTTCCCTCCCCTTCAGACCTGGTTGCCCCCAACTGCCCTCCCCTGCTGGCCTGGTCACCCCTAACTTCCCTCCCCTGCTGGCCTGATCACCCCCAACTGCCCTCCCCTGCTAGCCTGGTCACCCCTAACTTCCCTCCCCTTCAGACCTGGTTGCCCCCAACTTCCCTCCCCTGCTGGCCTGGTCACCTCTAACTTCTCTCCACTGCAGGCCTGGTTGCCCCCAACTGCCCTACCCTGAAGGCCTGGTTGCCCCCAACTGCCCTCCCCTGCTGGCCATCTTGTGTCCACATGGGGACAGCCATCTTTGACCACATGAGGGTGGCCATCTTGTGTGTTGGAGTGATGGTCAATTTGCATATTACTCTTCTATTAGATAGGATAACACCAATCCATATTCATAGTTGAAAAAATAAAAAGTACAAATAAGCAAAACAAAAATATTAACAAGCTCACTACACTTAACATTTTGCTATTTACTCTTCCAAACATTTTTTCTGTGATAATAATATATGTTCTTTTTGTACAAAAATGGGATCATATTGTGCATAGTGTGTGATAATCTGCTTTCCTCACTCTGATTCACAGGTAGGCATCTTTTCTTGCTAATAAATATAAAATATCTTTTTATATTTTATATTTTGGCTTTTCCAATTTTTAGTTTTTATTTATTATAAAATTGCTGCACACATCCAATTACTAAGCTTTGCATAAATATCTAGAAGAATTGCTAGTTTAAAATATTTGCAATTTTAAAGCTTGACTAGCCTGCTGTAAATTTACCTTCTCTCAACACTTTCCTTTAGGGAAATATGCTTTCCCCCACATCCTCTCCAATACTGGATTTTATTATTTTTACTGTTTTGGTAAATCTAATAGGTGAAAATAGTACAGTATTTACCTTTAGTTTTTCTTTCATTATTATTTATTTCTAGAAAGAATAAACATTTTTTTCAAAGCTCTATTGGTCATTTAATTTCTTTTCCTGAATTGCTTATTGATACTTTGCTCATATTTAAAATGGATCAATTCTCTTTTTCATTAGTTTGTGTATTAATAATAATATTTTTTATTCATCATGAACAAGCACTTTTCTCCAGTTTGTCATTTTCCTTCTAATTTTATATATGGTGGTTTTTGAAGTACAGAAAATTTGAGTTTTTAATGTAGTTAAGGCTATCATTTCCTGATATGGTTTCTGATTTTGTGTCATGCTTTGAAACTAGTCTCTACCTTAAAATTATAATAATATTTACCTATAATTTTTCTATATTTTTTCTTTATCTTTAATATTGAAATTTATCTGGGGTCTATTTAAAGTGTGAGGTAGGGCCCTAGCTGGTTTGGCTCAGTGGATAGAGTGTTGGCCTGCAGACTGAAGGGTCCAGGTTCGATTCCAGTCAAGGGCACATTCCTGGGTTGTGGGCTGGATCCCCAGTGTGAGGCGTGCAGGAGGCAGCCAATCAATGATTCTCTGTCATCATTGATGTTTCTATCTCTCTCTCCCTCTCCCTTCCTCTCTGAAATCAATAAAAATATATAAAAAATAAATAAAGTGTGAGGTAGGGTTTTAAGTTTCCCTGCCAAATGTTAGTTGTCCAAAGACTATTTATTAAATTATCCACTTGCCGTGAAATACTACATTTACAATATATTAGAGATTTACATTTACTTGAGGCTATTTTATTGTTATTAAATTCTACTCCACTAATAATTCTTATTTGGTTCTGTGTGTACATAGCTGTAATTATTGGAGCATGTTCCCTGCAAATCCTGGCCCCTCCCCACTATCTCACAATTACTTTTTCCTTCTTTTAGAATTGTCCTGGCTATTTATGCACAGTGATTCTTCCAGATCAAATGTTCATTGGGATCTTTAAGAGACAGGGTTGATTTTAAAATGATAAAATTTTAAAATGATTTAAAATGAAAATCCTTTCACTCCGAAACACAGTATGTCTCTCCATTTATTTAACAATTTTTAATTAAAATTTGAACAATTTCTTTTTATGTTATCCCATGCATTTGTTGGTTATGTTTATGCCTGGGCATTTCACATCTTGTGTTGCTTTTATGGTAGTATGAATGCTAGATGTGCTAACAGTGGCTTTTTAGCCTAGTAGATAGAGCACAGGATCCGATGGCCAGATCTTGAACCAGGGCTCAGCCACTTCCTTGTTGTGTGACCTTGGGCAAGTTAGCCTTTCTTAGCCTCAGTTTTCTGTTCTCATCTCATCTGCAAAACATACCTAATAATACCATATACCTTATAGGGTTGTTGTAAAGAATAAATGAGACTCTCAGAGGGAAGGGAATGGGGGGTAAGGGGGGTAGAGGGAAGAGATTAACCAAAGAATTTGTATGTATATGTTATATGCATAATCTATGAACACAGGCAATAGTGTGGTGAAGGCCTGGTTGAAGGGAGAGGGGTGGGCGGTGGAGGGGGTCAAAGGGGAAAAACAGGGACATCTGTAATACTTTCAACAATAAAGATAAATTTAATAAAAAAAGAATATATGAGAAAATGTAGGTAAAGTACTATACTCCAGACCTAACATACAGGCACTTGAATGCATGTTGTTATTATTAGTTTTTAAGCCGACAGCACTTGGTATTCCCAGGCAGTCTTCTATCCAAGTTTTAACCAGGCCTGACCCCGCTTAGCTTCAGAGATCAAACAAGATTGGGTGTGTTTGGGGTGGTATGGCCATAGACTGCATGCTATTCTTATTTTGAAGATTCTACAATAGCAAATATTTGTCTGTGAAACAGGAGCTGGAACATTGCTTCAAATATCCAAAGGCTTTAAGAAACCATCTTCTGGAACAATCTTTCAATTTCCGAGCAGAATGTGCTTAAATGTGGTTTCTTTAGAACACTCTACAAGCATTCTGAAGGCTTAGTGTGTGAC